TAGAGTCAACAGAGAAGTTCTTCGGTGAGATCGGAAAGCGCCTGCGTCACGGAGACATCCTCTTTGTGCTGACGATGAGGGAGTTTTGTTTTGTTTTGTTTTTTTGGTCTATGAAGAGTGAACAACATTTTTAGGAAATCAGTTCCTTCTGGATTTTCGAGATTGGTGTGATTGTTTTTTGTTATCAAAATAACTGATTTGTGGTGCTGCTTTCTTTTTTTTTTTTTTTTTTAATACTAGCAAGGAAGTTAGCAATATTTTTTCCTTATTAAACAGCTTCCAAAATGTACATGTTGAAGGAAAAATATGGGGGGAAGAAAACAACAATAGTTCACATTTACTTCACCACAAAGGAACTATCGAGACTTTTTAATGTTTATTGTAATGTGATTTTTAATATCGTGTGATGATTCAGTGGAACAGATCTCCTTCATAATTCTATTATTATGATTTTTGTCCCAGACGTTGTTTACGTCTGGTCCGGCTTCTTCTGGTACAGAATCATGATGCAGGTTTCACATCGATGACATTAAAATCTTAAATGTGACATGACCTTTCAGTCTGCAGGAACTTTATCTGATTTAGTTCCACATGTGGCAGCGGCTCATACTGGATATTTCGGGGGTGAAAAGATCAGAATTAGGTCGTTCAGACTGCTGTAGATGAATGTCTGTGTTTCTGAGTGAAGCTATTGTAAAACAGCCTGATGTTTTCTTGTTTTCTTCTGAAAAGCAACTTTGGGAGAATTTCTTTCCTTCAGCTGACTTCAGCACTACTCCTCACTACACATGGACAGAGGTCAGAGGTCACTCAAACTGTCTCTTTGGCATCGCAGGCAGAGTGGAATTAAATTCACAGGAATGCTATGGTAATATTTCTTAAGCAGATTTCCACCTGCTTAAACCAGCCGAAGCCCAGAGCGGTTTCAAGCTAAGGCAACAAACAAAGGCAAAAATTTTGACCCGCACCTGAACTACACATAAAACGAGACGATGTTAAAAGTGAACATCGCAGAAATGAGAATGAATCGTGTCTAAAACGGAAGATGGCATGAGCCTGGGGGCCTCTAGGAAAGAGAGGAAGGCTTCAGAGAAACAAAAAAGTTTCTCCTATTTGCAAAACAAAAATACTCAGAGTGCAAAATAGGGAGAGGACGGCTTGAAGAATAAAGTGAAGATTATGTCAGCGTCCATAAAGTTGCATTTGCATCACGCTCCAGCCCCTCCCCGGCAGTCCTTTCTCCTCATAAGAATAATTTAACACTGCCTATCTTGTCTAAATCCATGCCCTTAATTCCCATCTGTCTAAAGCTTTATTAACCTCTCTTATCATTTTTTTTTTCTTTTTGAAGGGCAGGTCTGAAGGATATGTGGCTGCTGACTTCTGGCAGCAACATCTGTCAGTGGCACTGCAAGCAGGCTCACGGGAGACGAGGCTTCTGGCCAATCGGAGCTCACAGAAACTTGTGTCTTTGGTGACTGTGCTCCCCATGTGGGTTAAGGGAAATTTGACAAACTTTGGCCTCAGGAAATCCTTTGAAGACCCATTAGATAACTGTTGTGACAAGATACAGCATAAGAAGCCGGAGCTGTTTTCCTTTTTCCTTTCTTTTGTTCAGGAAACAGAAAATATTCTGCCTTCTTCCTGCTCTCCTGAGGCTCGGGGAGGTTAGCTTTGAAATCGAGCACGCCGAGCCTCAGCTTCAGCGGCATAATGAAGACAGTTTACACTGAGACATCTGTGAAATAAAAATGAGCCCACAATGAGTCACAACAGCGTCTCAGTGAGTCTGATGGTCTTTTTGTTCAAAGGCAAACTGTAGCCTTTTTTTTTTTATCTTATGAAACAAGAAAAATACATCAACAGTGAAAGGTTACAGGTTGCATCAAGAGCTATTTTATTTATTAGCCATCAGTCTCTCAGGCTGTCTGCGTTTGTCGTACTGATCACGGGTAATAACAGTCATACTAAAACCATAACAGTTTTGATGGCGCAGTCGTTCAATCATGCATATAAAGTGTCAAAGATAGTTTGTGACACATGAGGACGGCTTTAGGGAAATGTTTGTCTGTACACAGATGGTTGTGCGGCATTAATATTGCTCGATAGTTTACAGAATCACTACTACTATTATTGAAGGTCGAGGAGGAAAGTAAAACAAACCAAAAGTAAAATTCAGATAGTATGCAGTGAATTCAAATCTTCAGAATGCTATGTGTTAAATATGAGCGTCGCGCAGCGGCAGGTTGCAGGGCGTTGTTACGGAAATGTTTCAGCCAGTAACCAAACTTGGCCCATTTCCTCTTGACCAGCTGTGACCCGTAGTCGGAAAGACAAATAGAAAGAAAAAAAAATCAGGTTTGGGTTTCCTGTTAATGATAAGGATGAAAAAACTAAAAACTCTGAATTTCATTGTTTGCCAACACATCAACTGACAGCAGGATCTTTGACTTGAGATTGGTAAAATTGCGATAAATGTTGATTACATGTGCTTTGACAGTTTGTCCAGTGTTACATTTTATTGCTAAATTTGAACACATTTTACACAAATGACTTCCGTCTTGTAGTGTCTTGAATGGTCTCTGAATAGGGCCCAGATCCAAACCGATTTCTAACATCTTAAAACAACTTCCAGCTCAAAAAGTACATGTCACATTTCTATTTAGCAAACCTTTAAACCACCATCAAATGTTGTACTTTGCTGTTTATGTATCACACGGTAGAGTCGGTGAGCAAACCAACATAGAATTTGTAACCTAGAGGCGGCCATGTACACACACCTGTTTAAAACGGCTTGCTTCTCTTTCCTAACATTAACTGTATTTTAATGACAAACTGCTGGGACATTCTAAGTTACATGTGTTTCTGCTTTAGTTGTTAAAAAATGAATTGAGGCTTGAATTGTGACTAAAAAGTGTCTCACTAGGAGTGTGCACATTTTTATTCTGATTCCATTTCATTGTGTTAGTTAGGAAAACACAATACTCAATTAATGAAAAACAACATCTGAGTTTTTATTTTGTACATACATTGTTCTAAGAGAAAGATTAGAGGTGACAAAACATACTGCATTGCCTGTCTGTGGTGAACTCATTCCCTGCCACCAGGAGTTCCCTGGATGGAAACAACAAAGATGGAGTAGAGAAATAACTTGGCATAATCAGTAAGTGTCGATGTTTAGGCCATGGACCTTTAGTTAAGCTGAAAGTAAAGATGAAGAAGACACAATAAAACTGTTTAAAGCGAAGAAAGAGGCAAAAAAGATTCTAAAGAAAGAGACGTGTATGTAACAGTCTGAAGTTAACACAAATATGACAACTTCTGCACCAAAATGCTAAGAGAAATTCAACACACAAGAACAAAAAGGCTGATGTCTCTTTCTTTATGGACTACCATAGAGTCTTCAACTCCCTAGTTTAACACGAAGTCTGCTAAATCAGTCAGACTGGTCTCTGGAAGCACCTGACAGGCTCCCAGTAGCTGGTTTTGCTGTAAACGATTATTAGCCACTGTGCAGCCACAGTCTGATTACCGTAGTGAAGCCTGAATTAGGAGGAGGCTGACTCTGCAGTCTGCATTGTTTGTGCTTCAGCAGCACGTCATTATTACAACTTGAGACAAGCCTAACAGAAACCAAGAGAGGATCTCTATAAATAAACTATACTGCTTCTGTTTGTTTATGTGCATAGTAGCTCGGTGTCTGGAAAGTGCCAAAAGCAAATATTAGCTTCGAATAACTTTGTTTAACCCGTATACAGAACAATATTTAGGATGACTTCTGTTCACAGAAGATCTGGATCGCAATTTACAGGCAACCTGAAAAATGTCAACACCTACAAACAGCCTTTCCGTACGTATGCGGACTAATTTAGTCTTCTCCTTGAGGTAGGATGAAGAGGGAAGGAGATAGATAAAAGAAATAAAAAAAAAACTAAGATGAAGCAAATAAGTTTGGGTGTCTGTCCCTTTAAGAGTCTTGAGGCCAGAGATGGAAGTTGGGAAAGTCGCCCAGTGCTTTTCTCATGACCCCTGAGACGATGCCTTCTCCTTTCTGAGTCTGAGGATGGATACCAGAGTTCACAGAAGACCCACAAAACGGACAGCTACCATTCGGTACGCACCGCTGTAGCCACCGCAGCGCTCTGTGGTCACCTGCATGAAATTATCAGAGTGCTGTTTTTGCTGTTCTTGGCCAAGTTCAATCTTCCCTGCAAGTGTCAGCTTCGCATCAGTGCAAAAAGCTCGTCAAATGTCAAACAGAACTTTCCCACAGTTTATCCCATCCCCTGTTGGGCCTAAAAATATCAGTGTTTGTACACTTAAATATAGAAGCAAGTCAGAGAATGTGGGGCAACCCGTCAAAGCTCAGATGAATGGCCTGAACTTTAGAAGTCAAAACAGTCTTTAAAGAGAACACTTAACAGGGCTCTACATAATTTAATCACTGCATTAATCATGTAGAGGGACTTTAATTAAGGTGATTTAATTAGATTAGGATGGTGTTATGAACCCCAGGTTTAACTATTGTAGCTACAGAATATAAATGAGTTTTAGAAATCCATGAATCAAACACCCAAAAGAGCAAAACATATACATAAGAGATGCACCAAGAAACTGCCTGGTGACTAGAATCGATTGATTTTTAGTTTGATCGGCTCTGATCTGCTGATTGGAAATTTTTAAAAAATCTGAGCATTTGCAAATCAGTGAAGACGTCATGACTCTTCTGTGTGGATGGTGCTGCAGAGTGAGGAAGAACTTAAAATTAGCGATGTTCAGTATCAGATTCAAAAAGCCGCTTAGTACCTGAAGGGCAATCACTCTGTAGCTTCCCCAGACTCAAACAGAGGCCCTTGAATGCTGAGACACTTTATAAAAGGATGTCAAAGCATGAAGTCAACAAGGTGCACAGTTCTTGGGAGCACAGCCATCGTAAGGGAATAGTAAACAAAGAGCAAATAAAAGAGTAAAAGTGACACGTGGAGCAGAAATCAACTTCAACATTTGAATGTCTAGTTTTCTTCCACTCAAGAACAAAAGAAAGCAGCAACCAAAGGGTAAAAACTGAAGATGCCAGGATGTGATTGCGATTTCTTGAAACAACTAATAAACATAATACGACTTTCAAAAAAGGAGTGCAGCCTCCTTAGCAAGTGTATTCTGCGTTGTCCCCATTTTCCAGTGGACTCCGTATTGGCATTAATCTCAGCCGAAGATTAAGGATTGTCCAGAAATATGTATAAGACGGCTCTATTGTTAAGACATCATGTCTGAGGTTCACTGCCGCTGCGAGACAGCGAGGCAGGGTGAGAATTTAGCAGATAAGGCTGAAAACTGCTCTGTTGTACCCTTCTGAGCTTTCAAACTCTCTGTTCCCGAGTATGCCGAGTTTGGAAATGTTGGTAGACTTCTGGTAATTTCACAGTTATGGCAAGAATCAAGATTCTCTAAAGAGGATTGGGGATTGTTTTCATAATCCTCACCAACTACTGCTACCAATACAAGACCGTCTAAAATATCAAATCCAGTCTGATCACAACATCCTGATCAGGGTACTTTCGTACTTCACAGTCCAGTAGTCGTGGTTCGATTGGGGGCCAAAAATTCAACATTTGCTACATTTTCAGCAGTGGTTCACTTTCACATTGCACTGTCAAGCGAACCAACCCTTTGAGCAACTTGTTTACTCCCTCAACTGAGGGGGCGCTGCACCAAGAACCACTGAAGAAAAGGACTTCTTAAGAAGATATATTCCTTTTTCAAGAAATATAAACTGAAATGGAGCGGCATCAGATTTCAGCGGTTCTGGGATTTCTCTTTGGCAAAATACCACGACACACTTCTCCCACTAGCACTAGAGTCGCACGTTTGTTTTGGTTGTATTCATTTACCCAGAATGCCCTGCACCATCATCCGCTTCCTGCTTTTTGGAGCAGTCGTATGCATTCAAAGCGGTCATATGCACATACACATACGAACCGCACCAGAGTTCACCTCAACCTAACAGAGACCCAGGTTTTTAGGCAGATTTAAGTTCTCTTTATTGGTCCGTATTAGACTTTGATGCGCATCCACACCTCCCCAAACAAACTGGACTTTCTAGGCAAACAAACTAGAGTTTGAATAAAGCCGACTAAACAGAGCTGGCATGCATGCACCCCAAGGGAAAGACCTCAAGAACCCATAAAATGTAAAGAAAAGATGGCAAGAGTAGAGATGAATGGGACACCGTTCTCTGTTTTTACCATCAGATTGAAACTGAGCTGGAAATAATCTTCCCTCAGATTCTCAATAGGTTTAAATATGCATAAGATATAAGAGAGGGATTGACATAAATGCACAGAGTGGATGGTAAACAGCCTGTCTGAAGAGGAAAAGTGCATGCTTGTATGGTTTTGGTATTCTGCACTGATAAGTCTCTGAATCGTGCTACTGAAGTCAGAATTGTACCATTAGCTAGTGACACATATACACAAACTGCACTGCCCTCAAAGAGCTGTAATCCAAGCTCAAAGTGGAGAGGGGCTTTGCTGCACATCCAGTTGGTATTATTCTATGGGAAAGGCAATTAAAGATAAGGCCAACACTATTGGTCCAAACTGTCTCCTAAAAGGAGGAGATTGAAGATACATGCGTTCTGGGATGAAGGGCTATAGCTGTAACAATAGTTATAGTGAAAAAAAGGAAACAGGCCCCTGCACTTAGTTGCCATACACAACGATACAGAGTCCAAAGCTTCATTACTATGTTATCTAACTATGGGGAGAGGGATCACTGTCCAAAGTGGCTCTCGGAAAATAATATGCTACTAAAAATAAGTCTTGCAACACTCTCACTCTCGACGATAAATCTCTTGACAGTCGCCACAGAAAACGAGCGCAGACAGTGCACCCAGCTGACCTCCCAGTGGAGCCTTTTGAAGCCTGTACAGATTGACCTTGTTAAATAATTAAAGCTCATTGTGAGACCCACCTGGAAAACAAATGAAGACGTTCGTTTACCAGATGGCGTGTCCCAAATGCAGGACTGACTGTGCAGCGGTCAGCGGAGAGATGGACCATGAACAACTGGGCTCAGATAAGGGAAGGCTAGCTTCCAGATTAGCTTCTAGGCTCATTTAAAAGCCCCTCGAAGACACAGTACCAATCTTCCGGCGTCTGCTTTTAAAGGGGTTTTGCTTACTGAAGCTTGCACTGAAGAATTATATGGAGTGAATTAAAAAAGGGTGTGTAGTTTTACTGATCCCTCACTCGTACACCCATAACCAGAACAGATGGTAACTCGGGGTAGACAATCTATTTTCCTCTTTCCTTTCTTTTTCACCTGTGCTTCCATCACCCTATGACCTTTAGCATCTCAGGCAATGACATTTGCGTGTGGTGTGATCATCTGCATTGCTCCTGCACACTCTAATATTGCGGTGATGTTTTTTTACAGCCTAATTTGTGATTAATTGCCTTACCCAAGGCACATCGACACGTGGTGGACTGAGCTAGGAGCAAACTCACAATCTTCCAATTGCCAGACGACTGCTCATCCCACTTTGCCAAAGCTATCCAGTGTAGTGCAACAGAAACTGGTTTCCACTTGTGAGTCGAATATACATAATGTTACCGACCGGCTGACAGGAATATGCCCTCACATAAGTCCAACATATTCACATTCTAAGGATCTGACATGCAGGAGCAATGTAGTCATGTCTCCAACTTCATAAAGACAATCTTTTTTTTTTTTTAACGCGTTTCACTGCTGAGAGCCTAGAAAAACACAGCTACTGTAAACTCAGGGAAAGCACCTGTAATCTCACTGTTTAGACAATAGCCTCTTTCACTGAACATACAACAAAGCTCTGAGAAGTGTTTAGTTTCTGTATTTGTAGTGTTGAACGTCTACATATAATGTTTACGAATGGGTTTAATTTTGTGAACTGGATCAGTTTACACTAAAACTTTGCTACGCAGTTTTAACGTCCAATCCGAACCACTCTGGGAGGACAGCAAGGACGAAAGAGAAACAAACTGTCAAACTGTGTAGCAGCTGTCAGATCACGGATTTCTTGCAGAGAACTGCATAGACTGATGTCACCCTCCATCACCTAACAAGATGACAGTCGCTCCGTTTCCACTGACCATAAAAATCCCCAAAAGTGGAATTACAAAAATTAATTTGCTTAATGGAAACGTGCCAAAAATGTTTTGCGCTAGGATGAGGTGGTT